ACCTCGTATGTACTCGTATATGTCTATTCAAAAAATTTTACATTTTTTAGAAAACCTTCGCCTATCAAGACGTAGTGTATCTTATCACCTTTACATTGATTTGATTGCGTTATAATTGATATTTATTAATGATATAAAGAAACCAATTCCATACCTCAACGGTTTTAACAATTTAATTATTACATATGTTTTTTCCGCTCGGTGGTGTAGTGGCTAGCATATACGGCTGCACATCCGGAAGTCCTGGGTTCGTCGTTCGTTCGTCTACTTCAGGGTCAGGCCAAGTTTAGTTATTGAGTCTTTCTGTTAATATTAAAGGTAAGAGGTGTATTAAGATAAATCTTTATTAAGTTATTTTATATTTTTTAGTTTTTGAAGTCGGTTTTTCTAAACGTAGTTTTTTTCTGTCAAATTTTTAAACAAAATTTTTTTTTATAATTAATTAATTATTAGAGCCTTTTCTATCTTCTCTCATACTAATAATGTTATAAAGCGCCATCTCTCAATTTTTTATGGTACTTGCTTTGGCGCCAATGGATGGTAACCTATTAAACGCTGAGCGAAGCTCGGTCGCTCATATCATTAAAAGAAAAAATATTGTATTATGATGGTGTAAATAAAAACGGCGACAAAATACAAGTCGATTAGAATATATTATGTAGGTAGAAATTTATTCTGAGGATTAATCTATAACTTACATACTCAAGTAGTTTTAAGGAAGAGATCAACATGCTAGTTCACAGAATCCCATTTTAATAGAATATGAAGTAATTTATGGCAAATTCACTGCACATTGTACAATGTACACTTGTAAGAATTGGACTATTATAGAAAATATTGCCTTAATAATAATAAACCTGGTACTATTTGTTGGAAATTGATGAATAAAACACAATTTACGATTCACTTGGCCTACAGGTAAGAAAATACGTTGATCTAACATAAAAGAGCAAGTTATGCCATAAATACTATGTATATAATGTAGCTAAATTAATTGAGCCTATGCATATAAAACGTAAAATTAGTGATTGGGATAAATATTCCCGTGATTATTATAGTCACGCCAAGAACAGTTATTTGGATTTTTAGTGCATAGATCCTTTGAGATCAAACTTAATTCCAGATTATGAGATGGAGCGATGACAAACGGCCAGATACTTTAATTGTAAAGAGCAAAGTTATAAAATTGTCTAATTTTATTATCTGTATGTATGTATACAGGCTTTAGACTAAACTATTGATTTTTATAAAATGACTAGGTTGCTTACCCGTACAAACTTTCATCTTTGATATGTTTCATAGGATGATTTCCGGGATGAAAACTATCCTATGTTCTTTCCAGGCTCTCAAACTATCTTCTTACCAAATTTCATCTAAATCAGTTCAATAGTTTTGGAGATTCAGTACAAACAAACAAACAAACAAACAAACAACTTTTTCCTGCTCATAAAATTAGTATAGATTTCATCGAAGATAAGGATGATAAGCGAAGTATATAGATATAAAAAAAATAAACACCATTCTTATGGTACACACTGCTTAATACTTTCTTAGATTTACGCGAATGTTTGACATTATTAAATAAAACTATCTTTTCGGATTATTTCGCGGATTTATTTTGATTTTTGGTTCCCGACGTTTCGAATTTTTTTTTTTTATTTTTTTTTTATTATTACACTATATGATATACTTTTAATTTTGCAATGGACCCACAAAACTGTTTGCACAGTTTGTCTGTGGGATCAGAGTCTCACAGTTATTAATCTTACATTATAATATTTAAGGATATTTATATATATTTTACATTTATATATATTAAATTTATATATATTACATCATGATATTTTGAGTAGGTATGTTAAATTATGTTAAGCTGTCCATATAATATTTTTTTAACAATTTGGCGAATTTACTTTTACTTGGTTCATGTCTAATATCAGCGGGCAAACTGTTCATGAGATACGGTAGACGTTTATCCAGCGTTCGATCGCCATAATAATTATGTACCCTTGGAACAATATATTTTCCCGCTGATACTGACCTGGTACCTTGCGCATGTGTCACCAACAAAGAGCGCTCCAGACTGCCATGGTTGTTTACTAGAAGTAAATATTTATGTTTAAGGCTAACAGGAAGTATATTACAAATTTTAAACAGCTTGTTATAATCACCTTTACAGCCCTTTTTGGTGTTTTTAGATACAATTAATTTTAAAAATCTTATTTGTAGTGCTTCTAATTGTTGTATATAACTTTTAAATGTAAGACCATAGCAGTCAAGGGCATAGCTTATTATTGAGTCAACTAGTGATGTATATAAACATTTAAGGGTACTAGGAGGTACTCTAAGACTTAGGTGATAAAATTTTCCTAATAGTACTCTCAATTTATTACATATGTGTTCTATATGAGAGGACCAGGAAAAGTTTTCATCAATTTTCATCCCAAGGTAAGTGACTATTTTGGTTCTATCTATGGGTTTACAATTACAACTAGACATTTTACTATGTATACATGAGAAACTATGTGAAACTATCTGAGGCAAAGTATCAGGGGGTCGAAGGTACGGGGAATGAATTAACAAAAAATTAGTTTTGGCAGCGTTCAAGATTATACCATTGTCATGGGACCATTTAATAACTGCTTCTATATCGAGCTGAACCAGACGACATGTCTCGGCAAGATCAGTGCCGGCGAGCACTGCGCACAGGTCATCCGCATACATGTACGCAGAGCAGTGGCGCAGTACTCCGCACAAGCTATTCACGTGCATCAGGTAGCACACAGGCCCGCACCCCGAGCCCTGCGGCACCCCGCACCTCACCTCTCTCGCGTCGCTGGTCGTCTCACCCACCTTCACGCGGTAGGACCGTGCGGTCAGGTAGTCGCGGAACCATTTGTTCAGCGGCTCCCCCACCCCACACTCCTCCATTGCATTTATAAGGGTATCCGTTTCTAAGGTATCGAATGCCTTTTTAAAATCAAAGAACACTGCCACAACAAATTTTTTCTCATTTAAGTGATTATTAATTTCGTTAGTAAAGTTTGACAAAAGAGTGTTCGTACTTTTTCCTTTCTGAAATCCATGTTGACACTTATTTAATATATTATTCTTTTGAAGATAATCCCCTATTTGATTCACTATGCATTTTTCTATGATTTTATCTACGCTCGATAATATTGCTATTGGTCTATAATTAGCAAAGGACTTCGGGTCTCCTTTTTTGTGAATAGGGCGTACAATGGCCTCTTTTAACATTGTTGGGAATATATGGTTACGAACGCATAGATTAACCAAGTTAGAGATCACAGGACACACCTTGTCGACAGCAAACTTAAGATCAGACATGCGCATGAGATCGTTCCCCGGTGCTTTGTTTGTGTTCATTCTCATTATGACTCGTTTAACATACCTACTATTCACCGGTTGCCACCTCATGCATACGTCTTTGTATTGTACATAGTTTCCCCTATCCATCCATTTATCATTACAAACATGTTTAATATTATCTATTTCTTCCGTGAAAGTATTCGCAAACTTATTACATATATCCGTCAAACTGCCTTGATTTTTCATATTATCTATTATTAAACTATCTAACGATTGTCTTTTGTCACCCATTAATGCATGTATTCTATCCCATAACTTCTTTATATTCTTATTACAATCTAATATACTCTGCCTATCATACTCATTTCTACTCTTAGATATAACTTTATTACATTTATTTCTATATTTAGTGTAACTTAATCGTTTTATCATATTTTTTGGTTCATTACTCCATATTACAAATAGTCTATCCCTTTCTAAAAGCATTTTTTTGTGATGTTCCGTAACCCAGCCTTTATTATTTCTATTACTACTATAAACTATTTTAGTACTATAACAACATTGATAAATATCTAAAAATATTAATCTAAAAGCTTCATAAAGCTTCAATGGGCATGTAATTGATAGTAGATCATCAAAATTAGTCGATAATAGTTTCTCTCGTACTGCACGATTGTCCAGGACACGTATTAGTCGTGAGCTATTAGCGGTAGGCTGTGCAGGGTGGGGGCGGGGGCGGGAGGTAGCCTCGGAACGCGAACCCAGCGACGACTCGTGCTCAGATGCGTCCATACTGCTATGCAACGGGGCGCGTTCCCACTCCACCGCAACCGATACCGGGTAATGATCGGATATTTTATGGTGTATCACAGCTGAATCTATTTTTGCCGATGGTGCACGAATGAATATATGATCCAGACATGATTCTACTAGGTTTTCCAATAGGATTTCACTACGGGTAACTCGATCGATACATTTGATAAAACCAAACTCAGCTAAAAGTTCTTCATACATTATGACATGTTTATCTCGATTTTTTAATAAGTTTAAATTTATGTCGCCACAAAAAATTACTTTCGTGTTATTGGGTATACTTTCTAATAGGTTACGACATTCTTCTAGAAATTGCAAAGTTTTATCTTGTTTATTTATTTTAGGCGGTCTGTATATTGAAATTATATAAATTGGTTCATAGTCATGAGTTAGTGTTATAGTGACGCACTCCGCTGAGCGCATCTGTGCCACTGCACGTGTCGTCAGGCCGCACACCCGAGCCGCGAGCCCCTCCCGCGCGTACACTATTACCCCTCCCCCGCTTCTTCCCGAACGAGTGAAACTATTAATCGTGAAGCCATTAATTTTATAAAAAGATAAATATGCATAATTAATGTTAGGCTCCGTGACAACAATTACATCTATTTTTTTTAAATTATTGTCTAATGACACAAGTAACTCACTGAAATGTTTTTTTAATGATCGAATATTGATGTGAAGTAAACAAAAGTCTTTCTTCTTAATAAAGGTTGACATCCAGCTTTCAAGGTCATTCACACAAACAGCATTTATGGCACTATTAGTTATTAAATCTAGATTGTTGAGAGACGCGAATTTTAACAATGAATAATTAATACTTATAAAAAGACACAGGTTAATTATTAACAGACATTTCACTTTTTGAGCAGTTCGCGAATATCGCCATCTGACCTGACCCACACAGATTTATCTCCGTCAGCTTTTTTCACTAAGATCTTGCCGTTATTTACCCAGATGAATTTAAATCTTTCCTTCAGCTGTGTCTTGGCATTCCACAGCAGCTCTCGTGATGTTTTGGTTAAATCTTCGTTAATAAAAATTTTATTACGTTGAGATCCGCCGGTGATCGCGCTGCTGTTTAATTCCTTGAGCTTACGCCTGTTGGCTAACCATTCGTCCCGACTTTTAGTGCCTGAAGTCTTAAAACCTATAATAATCGGAGCTGGTTTTGTCATTAATTTTGCGTGTCGTGCGGCGACTCACCCAGTCGATACATGCGCTGCTCACTCCTATGATATCTCCCAGTTTTTTAGCCACCGCCATAACGTTTTCATTAGGTAATTGTTCAATACCTACAATTTCTAGATTATGCTTACGGGAAGCTTGGTCGAAACTCGTGCACTTTTTGCTCAAGAGCCATGTTACATTTCTCCAGGTACACACATTTATTATTGGTATTCACTATGGACTTTTCCAGATCACGAATTTTTTTCTTCGATTCTTCATGTTCCGCCATTAAAGTGTCATACTTTTCCGACAGTACACTCATGCTGTCCGTTATAGAATTCAATTGCTTTTGGAGGCTTGGAATTGCACTGACTTTATTTCGAATGTCTTTAAGGATCTTTTCAATACCATGTCCCTCTGTTTCCTGTTCATCTCCTTCAGAATCATCAACAGTAGAACATCCCTCGCAGTTGTTGCAAAATAAACGGTTCTTGCCCGCCTTCATGTCAGCCAATAGTCCTTTTACACAGGTCCTATGGAATTTTCCCTGGCATGGACCTTGACACACGAAATGAGATCCGTTTTTCGACAACACTTTTTTGCACATTTGACATTGCATTTTTGCCAATAACGTCTTACTTGTACTTGTAAACTAGCGACTGCGAGCCGCGATTGTAGGAATACGCGGGACGCACGCGCACTTAATGACGTTCCGTGCGAGACTATGTTTACAGCATCCATGGTCACGGGAGAGACTGAGGTGTTACATGTCTTGAAGGTATAGTTGTTACAGACAGCCTACCCACAATTAACAAAATGAAAATTGCACCAATTACATTACAATATTTTTGAACTTTAGACATTTTTATAATTTTAATTATAATTGAATATGGAAAATTATTTATTTAATTTTTGCTATTATTTTTATAATTATTACAATTTTAAAATATTAATTAGTAATCTATATTTAGTGTTGCCATTATTATATTTATAACTATAAAGAAAAATATAAAATATAGTATTAATTATTTAAGCCATATAATTGTTCAATGTGTAATTTAAAAAGTTAAAATTAATTAAGGATAATAATTTTAATTTAGTTTGCTATTATTTAAAAAACAACTTACTAAGCAACACTATTAATATATACTTTTACAAATGAAAAATGAAAAATATTAATCTGATAAGCTGTCATTTTGATCTACATAGTATGAACTTACTACATCTGCCTGTCTGTTATGTTTATATTTATTATTTGATTTTATTATATTAATAACAGGATCCCATGACAATGGTATACATTCAAGACATGTAACACCTCAGCCTCTCCCGTGACCATGGATGCTGTTAAGCATTCGAAACGTCGGGAACCAAAAATTAAAATAAATCCGCGAAATAATCCGAAAAGATAGTTTTATTTCATAATGTACACACTGCTTTTCAAAAATATAGGTACGTGACTTCCATGAATCAATTTTTAAAAATACCCTTACATCCTTTAAAAATTGTATATATTATGTAATTTACATAATAAATTCATTACTTAGTTTTGTTATATAATTTTACAGAAAAAATACCTCAAAATTCTACCAACCAAATATATAATACAAATTATAAATATAAAATTAAAAATTAAAAGTCACAAGATGACCTTAGCTATTAACTTTTGACCTCCGACACAATGTGTAATGAAGTTACTAAATTATTGCATTTGCGTGTATGCCGTATATTAGTTTCTATTTTTGTAACTATACTATTTTTTTCAAATTAGGCAATACACTACCTACGCGTAAAACTATAAGTTTTTGTTTATGGTGAAAATTTTATATATTTTTTGTGATATTCAGTGACAAACGAGCAGACAGCCCACCTGATGGAAAGCGGTACCTGTCGCCCATAACACCTGCGGTTCATGCACTTAGGTAACGGACACTTACACAAGGATCTTAATTTATATAGTATAGGTACTTTGTATACTATGTAAATGAAGGTCCATGACTCACGTTTTACATAAGACATGCATGCCAAAGAATAGCCAAAATGGCAAACCCTGGTTAGCGAAATTCACACATGCTTTGTGAACTAGTTATGTTCTTTCACTGTCTCGGTGGTATAGTGGCTAACAAGTACGCCTGCACATCGAGAGGTTCTGGGTTCTAGACCCGGATCAGGCCAAGCTTAGTTATTATTTATTTCTGTTTAGTAAGTCTTAGTAACAACCCGGAGTTGGGAAGTTGGCGGTGTTTCATCCCCGTGCCTCGGAGAGCATGTAAAGCCGTCGGTCCTACGTCTCAACTCTCACCGATCGTGTCGAGTAGTCGTCCCACCGGAGAATGAGATTAACAGGAATAAAGAGTGCACCTGTATCTGCGCGTACACTTGTGCACTATAATATCTCCTGCGCAGCTGGCTTGTCTCAATGAGACTGGCCGCCGTGGCCGAAGTCTTTCGGGAGGTTATTATTATTATTATATTCTTTCACATATAATATATGTGTCCTTTCGATGTCTTCTTTCATAATTTAGGCAGTAGTGATAATTTTTCTATAGATTTACATATAAAAAAGGCTTAAGATACGAGACTAATTGTTTTAACTTTTAACCCGCTAACTTGACATTCGCTATGTAAAAATCAACGATCATGCGTTGTTCTAACACACTTTCTAAATCAATAAACGCACATACGCAAATATTATATTAGTAAAAATATTTTTACATCTATAGTCAAATAATACAATTTTCAATAACAATTTAATATATAAATCATTATACAATAAAATATCTTGATTAATAAAACTTTATTCTATTGAAAGCTCAAGCTGATACTATTTATTGAAACGTAAGCCCATTTCGTGAAAGCTCTAGTATACATCCTAAAGTCCTAAATTCAACAAAAACGAAACTAATTAAACAACCGCTTGCGAACTGGCCGAAATTAAATTCTAAAACGAGAATTTTGTGGAGAAGTAAACAGAAACTAAAGAACTCTTTATTTAACGATATCTGTTAGAGGCATTATTTCATTATATCTTTGTAAGAGACGAGTTCGAATAAGTCTATACTACGAGTATATATACTCCTTATAGTATATGAATACACTTATTCAAAGCTTGAAAGCTCTCGATTTTGCCATACTTACTTTCCATAAAGAATAAAGGAAGTTTTATATTATATCTAAGTTAATAGTCGTTAAATTATCATTTTTGAGAAGAAAATATGATTTTTAAAAATACTATATCCTTTGGTATTTTTAGACATTCATCTAATTCTCTTTACTATACTCTATATAGTATTATTATATACTATAATTATACCGCATAGGCGTCTTTTAGTAATTTGATGTACATATATGTATATATATATATATATATATATATATATATATATATATATACATATAAAAGGAAACTGTCGTTTGTATAATTAGATTAAATAAATTTAGACTACCATTAATTACTGTTATGAGAAACGTTATGTCCGAGTTATTTAAATTATATATTAAAATTTTAATAAAAAAAGAATGTACACTTCTGATCATCTGTAATAGACATTTTATCATCAATTCAATATATCCGTATTAATATTATAAATGTGAAAGTTTGTGTGTATGGATGTTTGTTACTCTTTCACGCCAGAACGGCTGAACGGATCTGGATGAAAGGCACAGAGATAGATTATATTCTGAAATAACACATAGGCTATTTTTAAATGTACGGTTCCTGTGGGATAGATTCGTTTTTGTTTTCCTAGAGGCGAACCCGAGCGAAGCGAGGGTGAGCCGCTTGTGTTATCATATAATTCAATTCAATTATCTTATCATGGTAGCTATTAAAAATATGATAGTCGAAAGAAATTATTCAAAAGTTCGAATGATATCATTAACATGGTCAAATACAGTTGAATACTTTTAAGTAATTCTAAGTAGTATACAAAACTTTATTTGATAAACCAAAAAATGTGCTTCATCGAAAAATTAGAATTTAATGATATTTTAAATGTTTGTGTTAGCAATATTAAACAGGTATATATATATATATATATATATATATATATATATATATATATATATATAACAGGTAAGAATCGATCCCTCGACCTACATCTAATACCCATAATACAAAATCATTATTTTACAACTTGACCATAGGGTCAATCTATGATGAACGCAAATATTTACACTATAAACTTCGGTAATCTTATTTAATGTTTCGTAACAAATATGGTATAATTAATTACCTCTCCAGTCGATGTTTACACTTTATATGGCCCCAAGAAATTAGGTCGAATCACATCTCAAGTAATAGTGGTAATTAAAGTTATTATATGGTGAATAAATTATAAATTATTCGCGTCATAACGGTTTACAAAATTAATATATTTTTCTATGAATTTTAACAAATTCATTTATTTTTTCCTCGTTTTTAGAGACGTAAACGGATGTTTAACTCAGACTAAATTTTTAACTCATGAAGACAGAGTCCGCCAAAAAGAAATGTCTAAGTCGAATATAGTAGCGTGTTTGATGTTTATGCTATACGATCTGTATGACTGATGATGTTTACTTTCTTTAAAGACTAAGAGAATATTTATATAGACACTAGTGACACCCTCGCTTACTCTAGGTGATTCTTAAATTGACATAACGTTTTTTTTAAGAATCGATTGAAATAAAATAAATTAATATTAAGTAAAGCTTACCACAATAGATTTGTGAAAATCTCACCCAAATCGGTTAAACTGTTCCTGAGACTAGCGCGCGCAAACGCACACATAAACAGACAAAAAATCTAAAAATCATTGTTTTGGGTTCTATTGCGTTATAAAAGACCCCCAATAATAATTTTGTCAAATATCTTCAATGTACAGTCAGTGATCACTTAAATTTTTATTATATATGTAGTCGTTAATTGTCAATTTTTAAGAAGAAAATAAGAATATTAAAAATAATGCTGTTTAGAATTTTAGAAGCATATGTTCTCTTGAAAGAGAGATTTATATATTTTTACTTTTTATTATAATAAAATCCCCTTCTTTTTGCTTATAAACCTTTATTTACTTGTCACAGTAATGAGTATTATATTAATATTTCTATACTATTTTAAAACATTATTGTTTGGCTTCATGTTTAGTTCAATGACACTCTGTCTATATTATAATACCTTAGTCTGAGGTTTAAAATTATAACATTTCTGCTGTATGTCTCTCTAATATATATACATTAGAGTTCAGAATTTTATTATTAATGAGACAATTTACACAATACTAACTATTTACACATATTAATAACTATGCTTAGTTACCGTTGTAATAAACTCGAATATTATTTTTTCGCTCAAAACATTACCGGTTCTCATCACTGATTCACATTTCAATCCGAATATGCCATCTACATAAATGCGTGTGCGCCGACCGTTTTAACGCAGATTAAATCCAGACCAGTTAACTCGGGAATAGCGATTTAATTTCACGCTACTCAACCATTTGTAGTGTAAATTTGCACTAATAATATACTTTAATTTGCTTGTAACTTGAAATATTTCCGGCTTATGCGATGACGTCTTCACGTTTTATCACTTAAGGTCTCAGACTATAAAGTATTATATAGATGGAGCTTACGGAG